CACAGAGGATATAAAAAATTCTTCTAACCTCCGCATGGCTTCATTTCTTCACCAGTAAGGTTCTGAGCTTCATTGGTGTCGACGATTTCCCGATTATCTCTAGAATCGTCCATAACATTATTACTGCTATTTTCTGTGTAAGCAAACATCAATTAGAGCAAATTCATCTATCTATAACCAAAATCAATGACTAACATTATAAATTTATAAAATTTGAATTCAGTATAAAGGATAATGTGAGTTTGGTATTCAATAACAAACCTTGTTTAATGGGAAAAATGCGAGAGAGGAAAGAACCATCTTCTCCGGTTTCGACTTGGAACAGAGATCCAAACGGAGCTCCGATCAATGGCTTTAAAGAATAATTCTTATTCTCAATCTTTAATATACTGTAAGAATATAGAGAGAAAAAAATCAAAAACCAAATTCAAAACAATAGAATTGAGGATGAGAATCAATCTGGATAAATTAAGATATTGAGGAAGAAGAAGACGCACGCGCCACCAGATAAACGAGCGAAGACGAGACGGTCACCATCGTTGACGTCGAGCAAAACGCTGCAACCTTCGCAAGCAAATCTGGGATTTGGAACTTGAGGCTTTTTATCCTCCGACATGACTGTCTGATCTTTATCGAGTTCCATCGAAAACAAAAAAAAGAGACTGCAGTTATGTTTGGTTAGTTTCAGTTCTGATTATGAATGACGGATTAGTAAGTAAAGTAGTAAACCCTAACTAACGACTAAGGTTTTGTCGGTTAAATAAAGAGCGGTTTAATGTTAATAAGTGAGGCCAAAAGTTAGAGCCCATTTAGGTGAAACATTAAAGGGCTTCTTTGGAGGTGCTATTGGCCCAAATAATGTCTAAAAAAGCCACGTGAACTTGCAATCTTTTTGCCCTAGATATGTGTGCCACGTGGTTGGGACGCGCGAAATATCCTCAACTTCCGAAAGCAGAGTGAGAGTCAACATGATCGACGGCTGAGTATGAGGGATCGAAGAGCTGATGGGGTTGACCCAACGACGTGTTTTGTCTGTTTATCGGGAAACGAAGATGACCAAACAAGCCCTATCTCCGATTACACATACAATCAAAAGAAGATCAAGACAAAACAGAAGGCATTGCGAATTTTAATTGATCGCTCTCTCTCTCTCTCTGTTCACACATCTCTCCCAAAGGTATTTCGATTCGAAATTCTCTTGATTTCTCTGATTTCTTTCAATTTTAAATCCGAAATTGAGATACTTTCGTGGTGTTCTTGATGATTTTCTTCGATCGAAAGTAATAGAATTTTCCAATTTTGGTAGATATTTTGGAATTTGATTAGTAGGTAGAAGAAGATGGGGACGACATTAGATGTGTCAAGAGCAGAGCTAGCACTTGTGGTAATGTATTTGAACAAAGCAGAGGCAAGGGATAAGTTATGCAGAGCGATACAGTATGGTTCCAAGTTCTTGAGTGGTGGACAACCTGGTACTGCTCAAAATGTTGACAAATCTACTAGCTTAGCCAGAAAAGTCTTCCGTCTTTTCAAGGTTACTCCTTTTTTTGCTGCTTTAGATTTTGATTGGACTGTGTTTTAGCTCTTTATTAATCAACTAAATATCATTGTTGCAGTTTGTGAATGACTTGCATGGTCTCATCAGTCCTGTGCCTAAAGGGACTCCTCTTCCTCTTGTTTTACTTGGAAAGGTATGTGCTTTAGAGCTCATAGCTCAGTGTTTCATACAAAGATTTCTTAGTCCCCTTGTTTTATATCTTTGTTCTGTACCAATCTTTGTTGTTATTTTCAGTCGAAAAACGCACTTTTATCTACATTCTTGTTCCTGGATCAAATTGTCTGGCTTGGGAGATCAGGAATATATAAGGTGAGACTGTGAGAGAGATCATCAAGTTTATGTACCACTGGTGTATTCAAGTTTTGTGTTTTGGCTAATGTCTTATGTGTATCTCAACACAGAACAAAGAACGAGCTGAGTTACTTGGACGTATATCTCTTTTCTGCTGGATGGGATCTTCTGTATGTACAACTTTAGTCGAGGTCTGTCTCTTCTTTCGCTTTCCCGATCGATTCCGCATGTCACCTTGGTCTTTTTCGCCGCTTATTTATGGGTTTTCACTGTTAATAGGTTGGTGAGATTGGAAGGCTTTCTTCATCAATGAAGAAGATCGAAAAGGGACTCAAGCATGGAAACAAGTATCAAGTAAAGTTCTCTCCTTTTGTCAAGAACCTTCTAATTCTACAAAATCCTATAGTAAGAAACTCAATTCCTGTTTATCAAATTGTGTAAACTTGTAGGATGAGGAATATCGTGCTAAGCTAAAACAATCAAACGAGAGGTCACTTGCTTTGATCAAATCGGCTATGGACATTGTTGTAGCAGCTGGTCTTCTTCAGTTAGCTCCAAAGAAGATCACTCCTCGTGTCACCGGAGCTTTTGGATCATCACCTCCATCATTTCTTGTTACCAGGTAACACTTGTTTCATCCACAAAACCTTTACTTTACAATGTTTACAATGTCGTAACTTTCTCTTCTGATCTTTATATGATTCTCATTATTATTCTCCACAAACACAGTTGCTTCCGACACGCCCCAAGATCAAAACACCCTGAAGTCGATCGAGGAAGCTGGTGTTAAGGAGAAAGTCATTTCAGAAAGTTATGTTGGTCTTTTATTAAGGAAATTTGCTGCTGTTATAAAACATCGTATAAAATACTTTGCAGGAATGATGATTATAATAAATATGTTTATGCCTCAGATTCTTGATACACAAGTTTTAATAGTATTGCATTATTATGAGATGTTGTTTCTGCTAAGCAAAAACTAGAGCAAAATCCAACTACATGTGTGTTTTGATCTGATTATTATATACTAGTATTTTAGCCCGTGGGCTTCATCATAGTAATGTATTTCAATTAATTAAAAATCTAAAAATTAAGATAACATAGTTGTGCACTTCCTAGGTTTGAAATATAACTGAAGGGATAAGAAAATGCTTCACATGGAAGATATAGAAGAAAGGTGGAGAACGTAAAGAAACAAAGCTAGGAAGAACGATTATTGAATCACTGCAAACATAAGAACACGATTTAAAAGGGAGATACATAATAGATTAATAAGAATGATTACCAAGTTGGAAGCTACTAACTCAAGGCTCTTGAGTTGAAGATTCAACAGTTTACATGGAGCATTGCGAACAGTAATTTCCTTAAGATCTTTCATTCCAATGATTTCACCAATTACATCTGTATTAAAAACAAAAAGAAGGAAAAATTCATAAGAATATAAAAAGATGCTAAACTTTGAATAAATATACATTGATGGTGATAACACGTACCAAGGAACACGTTTTCGTCATGTCTCTGAAGCTTATCAAAAGGGATGAAACTGAAACGAAGTGAGTGGTTTGGGATTTCAATTGTTGACCAAGTGAAAAAGATTTTGAAAGAATGTCAGTTGCCCTGTAACTTCCAAGATTAGGAGACAACTTAAAATTCATCAGTATACAACATTCTCCTTCTTGGAGATCTTTTTCGAACTTTTGAATTAATTTTCCTCTGATGCATGCTTGTATACAGTCCCCCTGTCATTAAAAGGGAAAAAGTTGGATTACAAAAGTACAGAAGTAGTATCTAAACCAAATAAACATAAACAACCAGAATTTTGTTTTCCACCTTATCATCCACAAGGAGTAAATCCACCAGAATCTCCAGGCTTATCGTTATTGTGGAATCGCCAAAAACGGGCAACTCGTGCTTTAATTTTCCAAATTTCGCTCTCAGTCACGGACTCTAGTTGAGCAATCGGTGTAAAATCCAGTTTCATGTTGCAAGTAGAGATAGTAATACCTGCAATTGAATAGATAAAAATCAAAACATAGAGAAAGACGATCAACTTTTACGATTTGGGTAATTGGAATTACCTGTTGAGAGGAGGAGCGTTTGTGTTAATTCACTATGATATAAATCTTTATACTATACATATGTGGTGATTTCCAGAAGATCAGTTGATTAAAGTGATGGAGGTGGGAAGTTGATCAGAGGATCGTGGGAAGACGAGAACACAAATCGTGGGCTTTTTTTTTTGAGATTTTATTTTTAATTAAAGAAAGAAAACTGTCGAAAAGAAATATTCCAATTAAATAAAAGGAAAACAATTAATTGTAAATGAAAAATGATGATGACACGTGTCGCAACCAAAATTGCTGACTGACTTCTCTTTTATATAATAAAGGATTTTGGGCTT